TTTATTCTACCCATAGGGCAGGGTAGCTGCACATTGACTACTAAAGTCCACATTACAAACTGTTGTCAATTTTTCATTGGTCTATAAAATCATGGATTTTTTTCCATATGGCTTAATTCTGATGATAGTTATTATTACTTAGAATCAGGGTTGATGGATGTGTTCTTGCCTAAAATTCAGTGTATCGTATGCCACAATCCAAAATCAGGCTTGGATCAGACTGGGTAGGGCAAGTTCACAGGAACCTGACAAATTGCATATTGGTATTTTGCAACCATTGATTTAAAGACTTTGTAGAATTTTTGAACTGTCCTTTCATCCCTGCATCTGTAGGGATGTATTTTTTCCAAATGATGTTGAACAGTTAATAGTTTTACTCTTTTAAATATTTATTATTTTCACCTGGAGATTTGCTTTATTGAACTTGATTAAATGACACCCCCCCCACTTCTTCAAAATCTTCTAAATTGTTTAAATGGAAATCAAAGACATGCCTACAACTTCCTGTCCAGATTAGCAGAATGAAAGAAACCTGCTTCCCTCTTGGGGTGGGAACAAGCCCTGGCTGATCCCTCCCACCCTGGGATGGTGCCCTTGGGCTCTATCCAGAAAGGCTGAATCTTTTCACACAGCTGGAGCACTGGTTTTTTTGTTTTATGGGAACTTCATATCCTTGATACGCCTGTCCTGCCCCCCCGGGTCTGCTGGGTGTGGAGTTACTGTCACATGGGGATTGTCCTCTGTACCAGGTGACATGAGAGGTGAGAGGAGAGAGCACTGCTTGGGTTTGGAAATGTTTGTAGCACCTTGTAAAAGCTGGGGAAAGTCTTGATGCTATGTGGTGGTACATGGAGGATGGTGGGGAACTGGCTGAAGGGGAGCTGGTGGCCTCTTGCACGGGCACAGACTGTGCGGAGGAAGGGAGGGAGCACGGGGATGCAGCCCAGGGATGCAATGGGAGTGCCAGCCCCAGGGGAAGAGGAGCTGCTGGCTGGGCTATGGTTGAAGCCACCTGGGAAAACAGCGCTGGGAGGGAGAGCTGAGGAATAAACAGCTTTTTACTTCTGAGTGCTACACTTGTCCTGGTCTGCACCTTCCAAGGGCTGAGGACAGTCCTGGGCAGGGGCCGAGCTCTGATGCTCCCCCCACCTTTGGGGGCATCTCTAATAGCTCTCTGGGGCTCCCCAGGCTGCAAAACAGTGGCTGCTGGAGGGATTAGTTGAGAATTTCACTTAACAGGGATGAAGGGCTGTCTTCTGGGGCTGGCTAATTAACAGGATTCTACTCTGGTAATTAAATAGCAGTTTGTTGAACACAACTTACTTGATGAAATCTTTGGAAAACATAACAATTAGCAGGCAAGGAATGGCAGCTTTGCCTCAAAAGCCTGTTCCCAATCAGTTGCTGGTGTGGTTTTAACCTTTCATTCCCCAGCAGAGATGATGTTAACCATGAATTTATTTGCGTTTTGTGCTGTCGTTGGACAGCTTCTTCACCCTCTGCTGTCACCAGCAGGTTCCTCCAGGGCTTTATCTCAGCTGCAGGGGCTTGAGATGTGCCACATGTTGCTTTTTCAGAACACTCTCTGGCGCTGCCTTCTTAAAAGCCAGCACTGGAGGACAGCAGGGTTTTCACCAAAACAAAAGAATATTTTTATTTTTATATTCTTCCTGTGGCAGATTGACCAGAGGGGATGAAGTTTACGAGTTGTCTTAAAACATAAACCTGGCAGAGGAAAATTGCTGATCCCGCACAGCTTATATAAACACTCTCATCCACACACACACACGGAAGGGAGGTGCTTTCAGATGGAAACTGTTCCTGTCTTCATCTTTCCACTTCTCCCTCTCCTGTAATGATTCTCTTAGGACAAGAGGATGAGGAAATTAGATTAGACAAACAGTGGGAGATTCGAAGGTTTGCTATAAAAGCCACCTCCAATCTTCGCTACACTTTGACAGCTCTCAATTTCTTAATTTGACAAGTTAATGAAGGCTGTATTATTTCCCCTGCACTGCCAGGGAAGGGGGGCTGTGCTCTGCACCAGGATTACCCATCCCAGCACCTTCCTCCCTCGCAGGCTGCAAATCTCATCCCTGGGAGGGAGGTGGGGAGACATCCCTGTGCTGGAGCCTGGGGCAGGGGCTGGCATTTGGAGCTGGGGTGTTACTGCAGGGTTCTGAAAGATGCTCCTGTGCCAGGAGTCAAGTGGACCTGCCCCGGGTGTGTGTGTCATCTCCGAGAAGCCGTGCTGCAGCATTTGACCTCCTGGTGTTTGGCTTGGCTGGGCAGCACGTTGTTTCCTTCCACTCTCCCCGAGGCTGTGCAGACAGTGGAATGGGCTGGCTGAGCCAGCCAAGCTAAATATAGAAGGAGACATCCTGCTCACACCTCCCAGGCACAGCATTCCCAGGGCAGGCCAGTGGGCATCCATGCACCTGCGTGGCTCAGAGTCCAGCCTGGTGCTCTGCTCTGAGTCATGGGATGGGTAAAAGGGCTTTAAATGTGGTGGGGAAGCTACCAGCTGCTGGGAAGAGAGAGTCAGTGGGAAGTGCAGCACCTCTGGAGCGGTCCCAGGGTGTCCCTGCACAGCAGCAAGGCCAGGAGCAGAGTTTCAGATTCTACTGATCCCTCTCCAAACTGCCTATTCCAAGTCCAGTGCCCGCAATGTGCTCTGTCTCGTGGAGGGACTGGGAGAGAACCGTATCCATCAGTGCACTGAGGCTCCATAAATAAGCACATCCAAGCAGGCTGGAAGCAAAGAGCAAAGTCAGTATCATTTATCATATGAGGGGGCCTGGAGTATGTTCCAGCTCCTAATGAGTAAGGGACAGCAGTGTTATGAACAGGCATGGGATGAATCCCCTTCTTTTTGGATCACGATTCTGTGTAATAAACATGCAAGACAATTTGTATAAAATACTGAGGATTCTTTCCTAGAGAAGTCATTTAAAGCTATATTTGCACATAAGGGAACTGTTCAGAGGAACGTTTTGTAGTTACATTTCCATACAAGTGTGCAAAGAGAAAACAACACAGTCAGCAAGTGATGGATGGTACATGTAATTCTGTGCCATGCTGTGCCCTTCCTGGGCTTATAACCATATTCCATGACCTCCCATCACACCAGAGAAGCACCTATCCTGGCACCCTGCACCTCTGCCTCCCCCTGCAGCTGTCAGAGGCATGGGGTAGATCACATAGTAAATCCAAACAAAGGTAGAAGGGATTTTTCCTGAGTGTTTTTTGGTCATGAAACAGTGGGTTCGGAGTAGGAAAATGCTGACCCAAATGCATTAGCACTGCTGGCTCTCAGCAACCTTTCAAAATGATCCTGGGAAATGATCCTGCAGTGTGTGGCACAGGCATGGTCTGCACAGAAAGCTTGATGGCTTATTTTTTTCCTTTGGGATAATTTGGGGGGGACTTTTTTGTTCTGTTTGCATTCAGTATTTCCCAGCCACCTTACTAGTTGTTCTCTACATCTACACTCTGCAGCAGTGGCAGCACTGCTTTTCTGGCTTTGTGTCTCAGATCCACCACCCTCTTGCTCTGGCTGTGTGGTGAGGAGTCACCAGGTGACTTTCCTGGAATTTTTTCCCGCAGGACACCCAACCATAGGAGCCCAGGCAGCCCCTCTCCATGTTTCCAGAGACAATCCTCCCTCTGGAGTCAAGCCAATGACAAAAGTGATGTGAGTATCCTCATTGCCTTCACCTTCATCCTTCCTGCTCCTTTTTCACCTTTTCTAGCCGCTCACAGTCTGTGTTCCCTGAGCACCTCTCCCTCCTTCACACAGTTCTTGAGTCAGCCTGAAGTCTGCAAGAGGCAGGTACTGTCTTCACATAAAACAAACTCTGCTGGTGGTCATGCCACCCTGCCATGCTCTGGGTAAACCTCTCAGCTTTCTTTGGAGATCCCAATCCTACCAGACCCACAGTCTTGAGAGAGTCAAAGCCAAACCAGAGGGATGGATGCAGCAGAGGGGGCTGAGCCTGAGCCAGGGGAAGTACCTGCCAGGGAGCTCCAAGAGCAGGGCAGATGCTGCACCTCCTTTTTTTCTAATATTTTCCCTGATTGTTTTTATCAGATATAGACCCCGGGTTTTCCCAAAGAGGGACCTGTTGAGCTGCCTCTGGTATGGGGGGCAGCAGACCCTCCATGTCCTGACAGCTTATCTCCCACCCTGGCACTGGACCTCTGCCAATAGGGTCCTGAGCTGGTTGGAAACAACATCTGATTTTCCTGGGTTTTCCCTGCTGGAGCAGGATACCCCTCCACGCCAGTGCTGTGTGTGCTGCTGCTCTGAGGGGGAGAAAGCTTCCCACCACTGCTGGCATCCAGACCTTAGTCTTTGGGATTAGGCCTCCTGCTGATCCTCCTGTGAGCACAGGATGAGCTGCAGCCTTGAAGAAAAGGTCTGTAGAAAGCGTGGCTTCCTCAACACTCCTCCCAGCTCCTTGGAACGCCACAAGACTGGGCGCAGACTCAAATTTCAGTGTGTGCTCACTCTGCTTCTCCTCTGCTGCCTTTATGGAGGTGCTCCTGCTGTGCACCCACAGATGCTGGATGGAGCAGGATGGAGCTCTTGGTGTTTGGAACCCCCATGGGCATTTACTGCTGGAAGCTTCTGAGAGCCGTGAGGAGGTGGGAGTGGAAGTTCAATAGTTGCAGGAGTTTTACTGTTCAAAGCCTGCAATGGCTTCCAGACTTAAGTATGTTTTTGTCTTCTCTTTTCTCTTTGTTGAAATGAAGGAGCCATTAGGGATGGTCTGGAATATGGCAGACACATGTTTGTGTAGTGTTACCATTTATATGGCAGCAGGCTGGGCTGGAAAGCTGATCATCATCTTCTAAGAAAATAAGTTATGTCTGCTGCTTGTGCTCATCTCAGAACTTTTTTTGAAGCCTCTTAAGTTTTGGACATAGTTTTCAACTACCAAAACCTCTAATGTTTTGGGGTTTTTTAAGAGTTTATAAATTTAAAACCTCAACAGCTCAACAAGGAAACACCTGCTAAGAGTTGAAAGCAAGTGGATCTCCTGTAAAAGGCTGGCACTGGAGCTGCCATGAGATGGCACTGTGACATCAGGCATGGAGCTGAGCCGCTCCATCCCGCGTGGTGTGCGGGGAAGCACCCTCCTGGAGGGAGAAAAAATGCCAAGGAAGAGAAAGGACTTATGTAAGGATAATTCTGCTATTAGTCAGGGGGATCTGTCATGGAGCCGTGTCTGGACTGGACTTTTCCTGCTTACACAAAGCACATAATGCTGTAGGAATTCATGTATAAACAGTGCAAATAAGAGGGGAGGGTGGCTAAATTATGAAGAGCACTAAGGAAATAGATTTTCTTCAACTGTTGATGAAAAATTCATAGTCTTTGATTTCTGGGGCATTTCTGAACATAACTGCAAGTTAAAAATAGTCAGGGTATAACTTTCTTTGAGCACACAAAGTTTAAAGCAAGTTGTAGGAACAGGGAGAAGCTGTCATGGCTGGGCAGATTTGCAGCTGGAGTGGAGCTGGCAGTGCTGCCCTGGTGTTGCTCCTTGGGGATGGGATGGGATCTCTTCCCAGGGCTCTGCACTCCTGGTATGACATAGAAAAAGCACTTTATGTCCACAGTGGGGCAAAGCAGCACATCCCACACAAAGTGCCAGCTAACACCGTTGTGTTGGTGACATCTCTGACACTGTAAATACAACACTCTTGAAAAAAACTCTTGCCAATCATTTTGCACAAAAAGAGGCAGAAAGGGTGGGGTAGAGCACACTACAACTTCTAATTAATTGTAATTAGAAATACTAAACCACGGAGGGAACTTCTATATGCTGCAAGTGGCTTCTCCCCTCTCTTGAGCTAAATGGAATAGCTGCCTTTCTCTCTTTTCTCCTCACCTAGAAATGAGCTGGTTTTGATGTTAAGACAGGGCCTTGTGTGGATCTGACTCTTGGAAAGTAAACAGCAGCATATCAAATGCATCTCTGCACTCAGAAGGTAAGAGTGGGATGAGTCTCCTACAGTACTGACAAGGTCAGGAATAATTCTGGAAGAAACCAGCAAAACCCATACAGGTGAGTGTGCTGGGGGTAGTGATGCCCTTTTCCTGCCACACAGCACGAGGAGGGCTTCATAACTGGGTTAGCTGCTGGTGTTAATTACCCTCTGTGCTGCCCAGCACAGGTGTCCCTGAACCTCACACAGCATGGCTGTGCCACCCAAAACATCTGCCAAGGGGTGCTCACACAAACCACCCTAAGGACCTGCGTTCCCTGGGCTCCAGAGAGGAAAAGTGCTTTGGTAAGGAGTAGTCTGGTACTGGGGCCAGCTTGTCAGCAGAGAAGCTATTTCATGGCTGTAAGAGGTTGCAGAAATGCACCTGAGCTCAGAGACTTCGCTGCTGCCACCGCTGATTGATTGAGGTCTGCTTTTCCCAGGCACTGTGACCTGGGTTATCCCTGCCCGTTACATAAAATACAACAAACAAAAGCAGCCTCTTGTACTTGACCCACATTTCTCCGAAGTCCCTTTTCCTTCCCTTTCTTTTACTCCCCACCAATACCTGCATTTCACTGTAGCCAAAGAGCAGAGACAGGACATCTCTCCTTTCCATGCCACTCTGAGCCCAGCAGGCAGCCACCCCTCCCAGCATTGCTCCCTATGCAGTATGTTAGAGTTGGGCTTTTTTTTCTCCAAAGGCACAAAACTTAGTTTTTAAGGGTGTTTTTCTGAATGGGTCTTTGGGGAGTAACTACTGTTTATGCTACTTCAAAGAAGTCCCCAGCACACTTAGCTATACCCTCAGAGGACTGTGCCTGTTAGGAAAATATGCTGGCTTAAGCATCCTGTAAGTAATACAGACTTTGAGTGATGATACTTAGTGCAAATGGGCCAACGATCACATGTCTGAGCCTCCTAAAGCCATTCAGGAGATTTTTGCACCAATTGCAGCCTATTCATCAAAATAAGATGCCAATAAGTAAAGCATTACAACGCTTTCAGAGGGGAGTGTGCAGAGGAAAGTAGGGAAATTCTGCCCCCAAATGGATATTCAATCTTATGACAAGGATTGTGTATTAAAGGGGAATGCCTTGGCTCCTGGCCATACGGCAATCCTAGAAATAATGCTTTATCTCCATTATCTTTCAGCTGCTTTCCTGCCTCCGTTGCACGTTGGACGTCGGAACATCGTTACTCACGGCCGGCTCGTCAGGATCTATTTCACTCGATTGTCCTCTAAAAATGGTGTGCAGGATGCTTCAAGAACCAACCTGGGGCTGCAAGGGCTGAGGGAACACTGGGATGTCTGAATTTACCTTTAAGGTTGTTGCCTTGGATGTTTGTATTCAGGGATAATAAGGAGCAGGATGAGAGAAGCCAAAGGTGTGCATCAGGAGTACCTCCTACTTGCATGGCTGTGAGCAGCATCATCCAGCCCAGTCCTTCCTGGGATATGCTGGAGCTGTGCAGTGCTCTGATGAATGGATTAGCTATTTCTCCCCTCCTTTCCATCCAAGCCTCCAGCCATGGTCCTGGCCTGGGCTTGCGGTGTTTGCTTGTGCAGTGCACCCTGAAGGGTCTGCTGGGGCTGCCCGATGCTGCAGGGAGCTGAGGGTGTCGCTGAGGGTGTCACTGAGGGTGAGGGGACCCACAGCTCAGACCTGTTACAGCCAACCAATAGTAAATCATTTTTGAGAGAGCAGTTTTTTTGCTGTCTACATCTTGAGCTCCTGAGTACAAGTCTTCCAGCTTTTTCTTCATGATTCCAAGGATGCAGCAGGTACTCCTCCTATTTTCACCACCTCCTTGAGTATTTTTAAGGTGAAGCCAAGAGCCTTGGCTGTCTGACCCCAGGACATGTGCTTTAGGGAGCCAGTTCCCTGCAGTGAAGCCTGCAGGAGCTGGAAGCACTGTGGTGGTAAGTCATGGAGTTGGGATTCACCTTTGGGGAGCAATTGCTGCAGGCAAGAGACCTCTGGCTTCACAGCTGAACTGCCCACAGGTACCTGGCAACAGAGCTCCAGAAGTTAGCATGGCCATTTTTGGCTGCTGTAGTCATTCCATTGAGGAGCTTATCCTGCTGTTCAAAGGACAGGTTTTGAAGGGCCACCAAGAGGATACGTCTGTCATGGTGGGGGGCCTGGGCACCATTAGGTGCCAATGGCAGGGAGATGTCATGCAGCCTGTGATTGCAGGGATGTGTGGGGGACACCAAAAAAAGCCCACAAGGCTTTTGGGTGGGAGGGCAGGAGTACAGGGAAGCTCTTCCCTGCTCCAGACTGCTTCCATCCCAGTCAGCCCTGTCCCTGCTGCATTGCACCCAGCCGGTGTGTATGGGTTTGTGTTTAAACCATTACAAATGCAAATCATCCTTCTCAATTACAAAAGCCTGTTCGAACTGGCATCTTTGAAGGAAACTCTGAAAGAGCTCCTGGCAGGGCTCTTCTTCAAATATTTGGAAGCTTTGCTAAGTCTCCTGTAACAAAGACAGGCACAACCTCCTGCTCCTCACCACCCTCCCTCCCACAAAGCCAAGTGCTCTGCCAGTGAGTGCACATCAAGAGACTGTCACTGCTTGAACGGTGACTGGGTGACATGAGGGGTGGCAATGGATGGAGATGCCACCTGGGACAAGAGCAAGGCTGGGCCTGATCCACTCTCACAGCGCTTCTGCGGAGCAGCACCTTGGGAAACATCTTCCTTGCTTCAGCACCTGAGTTTCCCTCCTGCTTTTCCTCCTTTTGCCCTGCTGCAGTGGCCTAAACTTTTTATCCATATTTTCTACCGCAGCCACTCTCAGGTAGCTAACTCTGCAGTGAAGATGCCCCAGGGCAATGAGCTGTGGTCCTGCTGTCCCCATCGATGACGGCGGCCACGCACTTGTGCCGGAAGGATGAATGTGATGCATTTGGAGAGCACATCACCCCGCTGGATTGGAGCAGGTGGAAGTGAAATGAGTGGTTAAATAAATACGGTGGCCGCCTGCACACAATGTGACAGTACTTCCAGAACAATGGAACGTCCTATTTCAGATTTGATATCTCCTGTCAATTGAGATTGAAGGTATCGATCAGGTTGATTGCTGGGGACAAACAGAAAGTGGAAGGGTAATTGACTGTCATGTCCCTCATTGATTCGGGCACCACAGTTCACAGCAGCCAACAGTATTTGCAAGCACTTTGCAGCATCTCCTTTAACAAAGAAATACAGACTTTAAGTAACAAAGTGACTTATGTGCACTGCCACTTAGAGGGTGGGTGAGGACATTCTTAGCCAACATGTCCTGGATTAACCAAACTGAAAGGTGTCACCAGGCATGCTGGGGCAGGAAAGCATGGATTTCTGTTTGCAGGTGAGTCACTGTGAGCCCACATGGTGCTGTGGGACCATCCCACTCCTTGGTGCTTGGCTGTAGCAGATATTAACAGAGGGCCTCCGAGACAGCAAAGGCACTGCACACGGGCCACGGGCCAGGAGAGTATAACCTCCTCTCTCTAGGTTGTTTGAAATGTTAAAGCAACAAATATTTTATGGCATGTGTTCTACTAGGGCTCGCTAGCAGCTGATCCAGAAAAAGTGTCCTGGGAGAGGAGCAAACTGGGAAACATCCCAAGTTGCTGCAATCAAATCCACAAAAAGCTCATATAAAAATTTTACATATAATCAGAAGGATGGAAAAATTACCTTATTCCCTGCTGTGCACTTCAGATTAATATAGCCAAACATTATTCAATCCTAATACTTATGGTGACCATGAAACCTCTTCCTGTACTTACTGGAAACAGCCAGATAAAATGGCTTTTCTTCTGGAGGATATGTGTCTGCTATTGGTTTTTAACAATCTGTTCTACCTGACATTTCTGCTCCTCACTGGCAAGCTCTTTTGGGTAGGGACTTCTCCCTGTGAGCAGAGGTCCAGTGAAATGAATGGGATTTAGTTGTTCAATGAGATTCCAGTGTCTAAATACCTTAGTGAACCTGACTGTGAAGTGGGTACAGGGATGAAGGTCCCACTCCTGGCTCCACAAAACCCAGAACTGGTTGCATTCCAATCATGGCTAAAGCAAAGCAGACTGTAGAGTGCCAGGTTACCATACATGCTGGTTTCCCCAGGCATTTCCCACCTGACCATTGTGTACGGGCCCATTTGGAGGCTTTTGTGTGTTTGTCTCAGATTTCCCAATGTCTGGCAGCCTGTTGGGAGCTGCCAGATGTCCAGAGACGCTGACCTCGCCTGCTAAGCATGCACGAGCTCTTCCACTGCAGGCTCAAAGCAAGCCCAGTGCCTCCAGCACCACGGGGCTGGCCATGCACGTGGTGTCTGGTCCTTTGAAGGGTGTGTAGGAAGCCCAGGAGGTGCCAAGGATTCTGCCTACAACCTGTCTCAGCAGTACAGCCAGCTTCAGTCAGTGTGATGCATCCTCAAGTCCTTGTCCTGGTGCACAGCACTATTTGTTCAAGTCATTTTAGTTTCAGGAGCAATATATGGGTGGGAAAATACATGCCAGAAGAAGCCAATGGATTTTGTGGAAGTACATAAAGCATGGAGGCCGCTCCAATGGATCTGCGTTGGTGTGTAGCCTCTGTTCCTTGAGCATGTGCTCTAAGCCCCAAAGCTGGCTTCTTGCTTACAAATGGGACTTAATGAGCTGCCCTTGGCTTTACCCAGATTTCTCATTTATTTCCTTCTCAGCTTTCAGGTGGTCAAACCCTATTTCAGTGAGTTTTGGGCACTTCTCACCCACCGCCGCTGCTCAGCTGAGCCGAGATGTTCCTCGCCTTGGGTTTTGAGCTGTTAAACTGCTCAGCCCAACCTGCTTTTGGTTTGCTTTGTCTTGACTTTGGTGCTGCTGGTGAACCGAAACACCCATCGCTCGTGTCATGGGCCGTGGGCAGGGCTGAGTGGGGAACTCGCTGAAGCCACCGAAATCTCAGCGCCGGGCGGCAGCCCCGTGGGCATCGCTCATGAGTCAGCCACGCCACGGGCCCCTGGGGCGCCTGAAGAGGTTTCTCATCCCACCCAAGTTTCCTTTCCTGGGAAGCAGGGTGGCCGTGCTGTGGTGCGTGGGCTGTGCGAGCTCCCAGAGAGTCAAACCCAAACTGAGCTGACGGAATAGCTGTAGTCTCAAGCATCCAGAGCAAAACCTCCTCTGCTGGAGGCTTAAAATGCTGATTACACAGAGCTGGCTGGCCCTGGGGTTACAGTTGAGGTGCTGGCTCAGACCACGGTTAAATGTGCAAGAGAAACAGAAAAAGTGCTGTGCTAGATGGGGTCAATGCATCAGTAACTTCAGAGAGAGGCAAAGCTTACAAACAGCAGCCATGTGCTGCTTACTCCCCCTCAGATTTTGCTGTTAATCCCAACAATCCCATACTGGTGGGTTTATGGAACTGTCAGACTGGGATCCCCTCCGACCCCTCTTAAAATAACTTATGTGAGGGCTCCACACACACTTCTAGTGAGCAGCTTCTCTATTCCCATTGCATCTGCTGGAGAGAGGATGACAAGGAGGAAGAGGAAGGTTGGCTGAACTGGAAGTTAGCACTTAAGGACAAAAGAATAAAAAATTCCAATGCCACAGCAGTAATTTCCAAAAAATAATAAGCATTTCTCCTCAGAAAGTGGATATATTGCAGGAATATATGGCAGGACAAGCAGGGCAAACACGTCACAGTGAAACAAGAGTTAAACAACCTCCAATCAGCCCTGTGATGGATCATTAAGGATGTGGAGTCTAAACATGCAGTAAGATTACAGCATCGTGCAGATGTTCCTATACCGGCAGCTTATTTTGCATATTGCAAAGTATAGAGATAATTCCTGGTAGCAAAAGACTAACCCATCCCACAGTGAATGCACACTCGGATTGCTGGACAAGGTGAGTTTTGTGGGGTGGGAAGGACTGAGCTGAGCTGCTGCTGCCTGGGATTACAGCTGCCTTCAGCCTACAGCGAGACGTGACCTCTGCACCTTTCCCAGGCACGGTGTGCAGCAGGGACAGATCAACAAGGAGTGAGATGGGTTAAATAAACAACAGAGGAGGACTAAGTAAGTAAATGCTGAGGAATTCTCTTTTTTAACATGTATATATTGTAAAGAAATGTAAGGCAACATTCCTCCTGCTAATTAGTGTTTCCACGGCGCTGCAAAAACTACAGCTGTAGGAAGAATTCAGGAAAAGTAATCAGCAGCACAATTAAGCAATCTGCCATAATGACAGAACACAACATTAGGGATAGAATAATCAGAAACATGTATATTTTTCCTTCATGATTTCCATTTCCCACCCAGTGATTTGCCTTTGCAGGGTGTATATAAAGCAATGCATGATGGAAATGCTTGTATTTGTCTGCTACAGCTTCTAGACCTTGCTCCAGTGAGAATGCCCATGTTAATTCTTGCCAATCACTTCCAACTGATGTTGTTTTTTACTGTATTTTTTTAAAACCTAATGTTTTATGTGCTTTAATCCCAAATTTGCCACCCTGTCTCATGTAAACTCCTTTAACTTAGAGGGTCTAAATCCTTTGAGTGGAGGATATCCAGACAAGAAATTCTGGAGCTGAGGTCCCCATGTTCCTGCCTGCCGTCCCACCTGAGGGAGCAGAGCAGGGAGATGCTTCACACTGTGTTTTTGCAACCTCCAGTTCCTGCTCAGGAGAGGAAAACGCCTACACCTGTGAGCAGACAGTGAGGGAATGGGCCTGACCTGCTCCATCTGCACAAGCTGTTTTCCCAGAGCTCCCTCAGGCTACAAGAGCCCACAAGGAAGGTAAGCTCTCCTCTGGGGAGGTGGTTTGGAAGGGAGAAGGGAAATATGGCCCCTGAGAAGGGGCTCCCATGCCTTTCAGCTCTCTGCCAGCTATGGATCAAGGCTGGTTGGAATGAAGCCACAGGGAGAAGGAAGACCGTGTGTTGCTGTGGGAAGGTAGGTGTTCTTGGGCTCTGCTTGGGGGGCTTACGGGCTGCTGGGAGGGGGGTGCAGTGAAAAACTGAGAGAGAGGAGCGGTTTTGGTGGAGTCAGGAGTGATTTTTGTGCCTTGGGAAGCTACAAGCGTTAGTGATGGGACTTAGTGAGTTTTGTGCTGGTACTTCCCAGGAGTTGGACGTGCTGTTACTGAAAAAGGCCACCAGCCTTTCCCTGGAAGGTGGAAGCACTATGGTGGTGTTGCAGGAGCCTGTCTTTCCAGGATGGTAAAGCATGTTGGATTGCTGCTGAAGGTGTCTGGATGGAGTGCTCAGCATGTGCTCTGTTCAGCTGGGGTGTGTTGATGCCCTGTTATCCTCCCACAGTCATGTTTCCTCCTGCTCAGTCACAGATGGAGTTTTTGCTTATTAGTGCCCCTTACGGTGAGAGTTTTCTGGTCCTGGATGTTCTTGGGAGAAGTGGCTCAAGTTTGTAACCTCTGGTGAGAGGGAGGACCTCAGGTGTTTGAATTTACAGGTGGCTGCTAAAAACTTAGTTTCCATCAGAAATAAGCCAGGAAATGTAAATATGTTACACTGATGAATCTTATGAATGCAGTTCTCTGGTTTGCATCCTATACATCTTAATAAAATGACAACTATGAAGTTGTTATATATTTTGAGAATTAAGATCTCATAATGGGATAAGTTCAGCTGGGAACATAACACCTTCATAACCTTAAAAAACTTTTATTTTTGCCTTCAGGGGTAGGCTTAAGATAAAAACCTGCAAGATCACCTAAGACTGAGGAGCCCCACACCTCCTCATGTGCAGGAAGATGTGAGTTCCAGCTCCTTCAGGCACTAATGAAAAATCTCAATGCCACTTAAATCAGTTTCTGATATTTGTATGGCAAAAGACCATACAAATCTTGGTGGCCAGATTCTTCTGTCGCTAAAGCTGGTGAAAAGTCACGTTCCCACAACCCCTTCCAGAGCTCTTGTGTCAGAGTTGATGTTCTACATGTTTCTTTTTCATCTGTGTGACTGCTTTGCAAACAAATATACACTCACGGGGCTGTTCCTCCTTTTCCC